AGGAGATGAAGAAATTGGCTGTTCACTTTCATGGTGCAAGTTATCCAACCTATTGTCCATCCCTTTTCTATTGAGCTGGTCTGCCTGGGATTCTTTCTCCACTATTAGACCACGATCGCTAGACTTCTTAATCTGTTTCATCCAGCATTTCAGAAATCGCATCTTTTTTGAGTTATAACATTCCCTGGCAAAGTAAACCTCTTCCAAACCTATCTCTGAGTGTTCAAATGCTGCCTTGCAGAAGGCACTCCATGTGAGATCTTGTAGCAACTGTGAATTTCTTTTGCTATTTCTCTTCCTTCCCTCCTTCCCTGCAGAATGCTTATTGGATGGCCCAGTCTGGTCCAAATCAGCATTCGGTTTGCAAATCCCATTCTTCATATTTCGACTTAATTGGTCTGCTTTTGTCTGAGGGTGAAATCCTTCATCCACAATAAACAGCAGAGCCGAAGAAACTGTGAAAGGTTTGAGGATTCCCGTAGACAATACACCAGTGTCACTTGAAAGGGACACTAATGCTCCTTGACCATTCCTATATAAGAAACTCAAGAGAATCTGCCAAATGGGCGCTGATTTTCTCTTCGCATTCTCTCCCAAGTCCGCTTCTAGCATTTCTAGAACCTTATCTGCATAATAATTGCCAGAACCTTCTTTTCCATCTTCACCAGGTTTAACCGAAACATCACAGACAAGGAGAGGATCAGATAAGTGGCCCTTGAAATTCGAAAACTCATTGTACTTTTGCAAAGCCTTAACCTGGAACTTTGTCATGCCTTTGCCGAAATTCCCCCAGAACAATTCTTTCAGTTTACCACCTTTTGTTTGTGAATTTAGGATTTCTAGGGAAAAGAAAGCATCATCAGCTGCATTTCTAGGCAACATCTTCAAATCAACCAATTGAAGATCACAAACCTTGCATTCCAAAGGCTTCCCACTTACATCTAAGATCTCGAGACTCAACTGCGCATTGACTTTCTTATGACTATCATCACAACCGAAAAACTTGGATGAAATCCCAATCTCGGGATAAATCAAACCAAAAGGAACAAGAGCAGAACCAAGAACAATCGAACCAGTGGAGCAAAATCCCCATCCCAAACTCCTAACCTCACTCTCAAAAAACCCAAATCTCGTCTCATCCTCATCGTTCCCAACCTTACCCTCACCACATTCTAATTCATACCTGACATCAACCCAGCTACACTGAATATCTCTACTCACAAATGCATCATTCACATTCTCAAAGAAACCCCGAAATCTCTCAGAAAACGCATTCACATTTTCCAAAGACTCGTCACCCACACCCACATTCAGGAATTCTGTCAAACAGTTTGCAGACACAGAGACGGGCGAAAACAGAACTACCAAATTAGACCTCACAGCAACCGAATCACGATTCGAGAACATACCCGTCATTGGATCGCAGATCACGGGGTCCCAGGCGTAGTCGTGCACGAGCTGGCGCAAGGAGGCGGCGAAGCACGAAGCCCGGGGCAGCGATGCCGGATCGCGGCGAAATGCGGGGAGGGAATTGAGGGTGTGGGAGAGGGAATTGAAAGTGGGGCCGGGGAGGTGGAAAGAGAGGGAGAGAGAAGTGGGGAGCTTGGAGGATGAGAGCAGCGGAGAGAGGGAGGAGAAGAAGGGTCTAAAGGCGAAGAAAGAGGCGGAGAGAGGAGGGAAGGAGAGGATGGTTTTGACGGCGGCGAGGAGGGTGGTGAGAAATGGAGCTGGGTTTCGGAGGTGGAGGAGTGGGTTGAGGTCTAGGAGGAGGACGATGCGCTGCGTTTTGCCGTAGTCGGCGATTGGGTCGCCGGAGCTCCGATCAGATGCCATCGCATTTGCAGGAGGAGAAAGAGAAGGAATTTGGCTGCAGAGAAGAAGGGAGATGCAAATGTGGAATTAAGGAACAGTAAACCGAATACGCCGTCGTTTTAGGAGAAAAACAACGATATGGTAGATGCTTGAGCGGGAAACCAAATTTTGGCGGTAAAGCAAATGTTTTAATCTGATCAAGGACCTGTTTGGACTGCTTCTAAATTTGTTAAAAGCGCTTTTAGAGAACGAAAGAGCTTTTGACATCAGTTGAAAAAATAAAAATATTTAAAGTACTTCTTCATGTTAAAAAAACACATGGTTTATAACGGAAATTTCAACATGATTTGAATGAAAGTGCATTCCAAAAGTATTATGAATAGATATGCTTTTCAATATGCTTATAATAAAAGTGCTTTTTGCAAATGATGTCGGACTCGTTTATAATTGCTTTTAAAATGGTTGAAAGTTTATTTTGTAAAAATGTTTTTAGAACAAATATTTAATAAAAATACAAGTGAATTAAAAAAAAACACTTCAAGAATAAAACAACCAAAGGGGCAAAAACAGGACAACCAAATTAGACCTCACAGCAACTGAATCACAATTCGAGAACATACCCATCACCAAATCACAAATAGCTGGTCCCAAGTGTAGTCGTGCACGAGCACATTTAGAACCAATATTTTCTTTAAAAATGGTCTCAATCATTTTAAAAACATTTTCAAACGAACCCGTCATTTTTAGGAGAAACACAATGGCGCAAATGATCCTTAGGTGAGAAGAAAAACTAGACATAATGTTAAATAGCACATTATGTACCAATTTTTCTTCAACGGGGCTGGGACTACTAAGAAGTTTGGAAACTAAACAGCAAAGATTGACTCTAAGAAATCAAACCTGATGATTGCTTATAAAGTCGAACTATTTGAATAGATTTGACTACCGAAGACAAAATCATACATATGCGGATCATTAAAAGGTGAAAGAGGCCCATAAAGACCAAAGCCATAGCCCACATAGCTGATTTGGGCCAATTGGCCCATCTCAATTCTATTTTCTTTTTCTTTTTCTTTTTTTAGTTGATTGGCGTGCTCTATCCTCTCCCCAAACTCCAAACATGGGGAAGAAAGCTGCAAACTTCCTCTCTCTTCAAACAAGAAAGCTGCAAACTTTCTCTCTCTAAAATCCAACCCCTCAAAAGTTGCAAAATTACAAGAGAGTCCCAACATGTCCGCCATTTCTCTCACCAAGTTCATCGTCTTCTCTTCCATCGCTTCCTCAACTTTCCCAAAATATCCAACTCCTTACCCTTCACTTTCACCCAAATGCCCAACGTATCCCCTCACCCACTCTTCCAGAAAGATTTCGGTCTCGGTATTTTCGAAGCCTTCCGAGGCGGAGGAAGACGAGGAGCTCCCGTCGGCGCCGGAGGACGAGTGGCTGAAGAAGCTGCCGGACAAGAAGAAGCCGCTGTACGCCCACAGCCTCCCCTGCATCGAGGCCTGGCTGAGGAACTTGGGGTTTTACCAGAGCAAAGAGGACCGGGCGGTTTGGCTGGTGGAGAAGCCCGAGTGGCACGCCCAGCTCTCGCTCGACATCACCGACTTGTATGTGAGGTTGGTTTTCTGTTTTCTCTTCTGGGTTTCTGCCATTTCTGCTGTACACACACACATATATGTATATGCGTGCTGAATTTTTGGCTGATGGATTGATTTGGTGGTTTAGTGTTAATTTTATTGAGAAAAGATCATGAATTTAATCAGCCTGTGTGTTAAGTTTTAGAATTTACAGTTTGTTTTGTTGCGATACAAGTCGGGTTGCTGTGAGATTGAATTTGATACCGAATTTTATAGAAAAATGTAGTGAAATTAGAGTGGACAATTTGTGGATGGTAGGATGATTGCACCTAAACTCGGATAAAAGTGGAGTTTTATTAGGCCTCTATTAGTCTTCCATGCCTTTGGTCCATTTATAGCTTCCAGTTTCTGTGAGTGAGTGGTTTACTGTGTTAACTTGATCCGGTTGGCCGGTTGAATTGGAGGTCATGATGGTGGATTCAACTGCGATTCCTGGAAATAGTGTGGATTCACAGAAAAATGGAAAGGAATCAATGTGTTGTGGAATGGGAACGATATAAGAGTTTGTTTAAAGGCTTCTTTAGGATTGGCTCGATTGGATATGTGGCTAAGTCCCATTATCACATTCTAAGTTTCACGAATGAGATTGTGCGCTTGATGACATGAGCTAGTTATAGACGATAGGAAATGGCGGTGATGGTTGAAAGCGGGAAGCTTGAGGTTGTGGGGAAAGATGGAGAAACAGACTGATTACTTGAAAGTGTTCGTATTACCCTGCATCACCTCTAGTTTTTCCTTTTCACATGACTGTGTCTCCCCTTTTTTCTTGGCGATGTTCTAGATCGTTGCTTGAAATTGTTTCTTTTTTCTGAACCTTTTTGTTATATCAAATATTACTGCTGCTAAATATTTAACTGGTGATGTAGGTATCTAAAGACTGGACCAGGAAACCTTGAAAAGGATATGGAGAGGCGATTTAGTTATGCGCTGAGCAGAGAGGACATCGAGAATGCAGTGCTTGGAGGACCCTGAGGACAACAAAACAATTGTTCCTGCAGGCATCTAGTTTGCTCTTCTGAATTTATCGACCTCCCAGAAGGCACCTATTACTTCTGGTTGACGGACTTGTGTGAATAGGTTACTATCGATTCTTACACTAGGACTTTTGAGACGAATAATAGGCTGTGCTATTATTTATAACTTAAATTAGTCCTCATGAGAGCTTTCGTGATCAAAATCGTTATTTTTAGGTTACAGCTAGAACTTTAGGGAGGTGCTGATTGGTGCAAATGCTTTAGACAATTTCAGATCGAATGTATTCTTCTTTTCATGATAAAATCGAATGTATTCTTCTTTTCATGATAAAATCGAATGTATACTTCTGTACGATGAATCTTCGATTTTATTTTCCTTTGAACGCAAATGTAGACGATGTTATTAGTACGTAACTAGCCTGATCGGCATTTCTGTAATCAGTTTTCGATCGTGTGATGCAGAACCGGAAAATTCTTTTTTTTTTCAAAGTTATACAGAATGAAAGAAACACAATGTGCGATTTTCGTCAATTTAGAAGAAGAGCCGATTGCACAGCAGCAAAATGATGTAACAATTTTCGAATTGGATCTATATACTCTTATTGATTTTAAAATGTACAGTAATTCTCTTGCGTTTGACAACAACTTGTCGCGCAAGAAATGTCTATTTCCAGTTTCTGCATCATGATACATATACAGTTCATCAATCAAGATCTGCGTTTTAGATTACGTTCATCGCGGTGTTTTAGATTACATTCATCGCCGTGCTGGGAACGGATACCTACAACCTTATGCAACCTGATGTGCTACTATTGATCTGGACTAAGTAGTCGATTATTCTTCATTGCCTTCGAGAAAATAAGGTAGAGATATTATACACACGCTTCTTCGGCTAGCAACGTTCTATAGTTTACACCAATCCTCCTTTTCACTATGCTTCATCTCTTCGCTACCCAGCCGTGGCAAAATGGCGAGATGAAACAATGAAACACCGCTACTTTCAATGCGATTCTGCAGACTGGAGATGAGACCAGTATTCCTTGACAAGCTGCCCAAATAGCGAGCCTTCTCTTCTCATCAAGTTCATTGGCTCGTCATACTCCACAATTTGTCCTGAAATGGATAAACGTGTTTCATCAATGTTACTCTCTTTTTCGAACAATTATGAACGAATAAGAACTGGTATATATTATGTACTTGGATGAGATCACGAGAAGCATTTTGAAGGAGAGAGTGAGAGTGAAACTCACCGTCACTGATGGCAAGAACCATTGAACAATCCATCACAGTCGGTATCCTGTGAGCTACCGTGATCACAGTGCAGTCTGCAAATTCAGTTCGGATAGTTTTCTGAAGAATTGTATCAGTGGCATTGTCAATTGATGCGGTTGCTTCATCAAGCACTAGTACCCGACTTCTTCTCAAAAGGGCACGCCCCAAACAGAACAATTGCCTTTGTCCCATGCTCCAGTTTGATCCATCTTCCACAACTGAGTAACAGGGCATCAGTTAATACAGCTGATCACAATTTCACAAAACAAAACGCTCGCCACCATCCTGATACACCGAAAATCTTACCTAAGGAGTCTAAGCCGCTTTCCTTCTCCTGAACAGGCTCTCGAAGCTGACACTTCCCAAGAACCTTCAGTACGTACAAATAAGTCAGTTGCTTAGTTTAAAATTTCAACCATGCTGAATTAAACAGTCAAAAAGGAATAATACAGCAAACAAGCTTATATAACTCGACAGTATACCTCCCATATTTCGTCATCTGAATGTTGAGACAAGGGATCCAAATTGTATCTCACAGTTCCGTTGAAGAGGGTAGGATCTTGAGGTATTATTCCAAAACGCGACCTTAGATCATGCAATCCGATTGTAGAGATGTCAATGCCATCGACTATAATCTTCCCTCCCGCTGGCTCTACTAAACGAAATAGAGCACCTATGAGAGTAGACTTTCCACTGCCTGTACGACCAACAATACCAATCTTGTGTCCTCCTTCAAAAATGCAACTGATCCCACGAAGAACGAGTGGTGTATCGGGCCTATATCTGATCTGTTATGACATGAAAATTCTCAGTAAGCTTCTTCAAGGTAAACCTTGACTAGTTCTAGCACCAAAGCAACCAATATTTACCTGCAAATTTTGTATCTCGACTTTACCTACAGCGGGCCAATTGGTTGGAGGACGGTTTCCTTCTACTACTTCAGGGGCTTCACTCGGTATATTCATGTACTGATCTAGTCTTTCAACAGAAATAATGTAATTTGCGATACTGCACTGGATCTGAATTGAAAACATCAAGGAAACGTTCAATGAAAGACCATACGAAAGTGCCATCCCAATGAATCCTGCAGTGACACAGTAATTGCTGTAAGTCTTGATAGTTTGAAGTCATACTACATACATAAGAGATGTCAAAATTACTCAGAAGATTGCAACACTAAGAATGTCAGGATTCTTTTCCCTTTTATCAAAGTTTGGAAAACTCACCAGCGCTGAAAGTTCCAGGAGGAAGCAAAGTCATACAGAGTGCTGCAGAAGAAAGAACGGTTGCGCTTATAAATTCTAGCCGTAGGATCAACCATTCATTCGCCGCAAAACTGTGGAAATAAGGACTAGCATTTGTGTCAATGAGATCAAAGTTCTTCTCCAAGAACCGCTCTTCTTCATGGAAAGCTCTTATTGTAATCGCTCCTGACACCGACTCTGCTACATGGTTTGCTACAAGGGACTTGGTTGTGCCATTGATTCGCATCAACTCTTTTCCAGTCGAAAAGTAGTATTTCTGAAAACAAGAAATGGTGTATCCACAGACGTTGTTTCAGAAAAAAGTAAATTACTTTGCTATTTCAGTTTCAAGTTCCAATTTTTCCTCAATTTCTAATAGAGAGAAATATCACAACACATAACACATTGATAGAATCATGCAGCCAGTTGAAGGAATACAGATTCTTCCTAGTATAAGGAATAAAAGAACTTGGTACGGCATTACCTGTAGGGAAATTGCCACATAGATCATCGGTATGGAGACAAACAGGACTTGCCAGGTAACGACAGCCAGTACTCCGAGATTGGCATAAGCGTTCATAGTAGACCCACAGGCAAAGACTAGGTTGAACGGAACATCAAGATCTACGATACTCAGATCAGATGACACCTACCAAAAAAAAAGCAACGCAAAAAGATGTTAGTTCCTTGAATGCCTACTAATCTATAAGCACACTTTCTGTTTGAAATGCATACCCGACTAAGTATCCTTCCCAGAGGTGTTGAGTCATAAAAAGACATGGGTGCACGGAAAAGGGAACTCAGTAGCTGTGAGAACAAAGACTGAGATGCCTCAAGACCCATAATAACTGTTAAAATAGATCTGAACAGTAGAATAAATGTTGCGGAAAATCCAATCAACAAGTAAACCGCAATCAATCGCAATGTGCTAACATTGGGATTGTCAACGTTAGCAGCCATCCAAGAGTTCTGCCCTATCTGACTCATAACGAAAATGAAGTGTAAAAGAACTGCGGCTGAGAAGTACAAGAATCCATTCTTCTGCTTCAAATACAGTACGAACGGCTTAACACCTAGTTCTCCTGTTTCTCTCTCTTCTCGTTTAATCAATTGGTCACCTTTTTCTGGTTTGAGTTGCTTTTCTACATATGTCTTCTTAATCTCTCTGGACGATATTCCAGTTTGGGCCGCAGTGGCATCTGCAAGCCTTTCAGAACCAGCAGTTTCTTTGTGTGCATTCACAAGATCCTGAAACTCTTGGCTTGAGGCCAATAGATGGTGATAAGGAGCTGCTTGTAGGATTTCCCCATCTAACATCAACTGTAAAAAAAGTTAATTAGAAGTTATTCTTAGAAAAACCGCTTCTGCTATGAAAATAGCGATGAATAAAAATCCGAATAGCCTAGAGTTAAAAGTTGACTAACCAAAACAGAATCAAATGCAGGCAGGAAATCAACTTGATGGGTCACAAGTAAAACCGTCTTCCCTGAAAGTGCTTCCATAACATATTCCTGCCAATGTACAAGTTAGCACTAAAAGCCAGACGATAATCAAAAAGGCACTGCCAGTGTTAGGATAGAGTACTTACATTGAATAAGTTTGTAGCAGTATGTGCATCAACAGCACTGAATGGATCATCCAAGAGATATATATCAGCATTCTGATAGAGAGCACGGGCAAGTTGGATTCGCTGCTTCTGACCACCGCTCAGATTGACCCCTCTCTCCCCTATTTCAGTAAGGTCGCCATAGGGGAGCAGCTCAAGGTCCTTTACAAGTGAACACCTCTCAAGTGTTTCTCGGTATCTTTCAGTATCCATTGGAGAACCAAACAAAATATTTTCTTGGATCGTCCCTGTCTGAATCCATGCTGTTTGAGAAACATATGCCGTCTTCCCAAAAACTTGAATCTGCAAGTCAAGAAGAGAAATTAAAGATGATACTTGCATAAGGTGAGACTCTGCACAATATTGAATCGTAATTTTTAGCTATCAAGGGAAAGTAAAGCGGCAACTTACATTTCCTCGAACATTTGGAATTTCTCCAAGAATTGCAGCTAAAAGGCTTGATTTGCCTGAGCCGACTTCTCCGCATATAGCAACCTTTTCACCAGGTCTAACCTCTAAGTTTATATTTCTCAGAGTGGCCTTCGAAATGTTCTCCACCCATGAAAAATCAGCCGACTTAATAACAATGGAGTGGGATACATTCTCCATGTTCCTCTTCTGGACATTTGAAGTCTGCAGCTCTGGTGCCTCAAGGAATTTCACAATACGTTCAAACGCAACCTTCGCTTGAATGACAACCCCAATAACCTCAGGAATTGATCTAATGGGATCCTGAACAAGGCGTAAAGTTGCTACGAAAGTAAAAACATTGTTCGCATGCAACGGAACCTTGAGAAAATAACATGCCCCAAAGGTTGCAGCAGACACCAGAACAGGGGACGACCAAAAGAGATAGGAATTATACGCTTTTCTATACTGCACTGCAGATAACCATTTGTGCTCCTCCTTCCTTAACCTCTCTATCGCCTTCTTGAAATGAGTTTCCCATGCATACAACTTCAACACCTTCATGTTCACAAGAGCCTCGGAACTAGCCTTCAGTCTTTCGTCTTGTGCCACCATAAGCTTAGACTGAAACTTATGTTGTAACTTAGCAACTGGAGCATTGCAAATCACTGTCAAAACTATCACCACCAACGCTGCAATCGTAGCCAGGCCAACTGCGCGGAAAAGAATCACCAATGCAAGACAGAGCTGGAGGCCGGTCGTCCAAGTTTGGTGGAACCAATATGGGAACTCTCCGATCCTATAAGCATCCACAGTAACGTAATTCATAATCTCACCACCTGAGTGTGTCAACTTAGCAGCATTCGATAATCTCAATTGCTTCTTGTAAATGGCCGATGTGAGTAAAGACTTGATTTTCACACCAATAAGCCTGGATCGTAAGTACCATTGCCGTTGTGAAATGGATTCCGTGATCTTTGAAAGGAAAAGTGCTATGGCTAACGCGTACCCTTCATATTTGAAGCTTCCTTTTCCCTCGGCAACCAATATGAAGGCGTTAAGAACCAGTGGACAAGCAGAGACGGTGAGTACCTTCAGCAAAGCAAAGAAGCCAGACAGTAAAATGTCTTTCCAGTGGCACATGACTATTGTTCTTAGTACTGAAGGTTGAGAAGAAGGTTCGATTTGTTTCTGTTTGTTCAACCGCTCCAAGTACTGCAAATAGCAACTTTCTGCTCGATCTTCCTCACGCAGCTTGGGTATATCCTCTTCCTCTAGAGTTTTCTCCCTACCCTTTTTCATCAGCGAGTTCAGCCACCAGATTGTGGCTTTACTGAAAAATCCAGCTTTGCTAAACGGCGTAACATGATCACTTTTACAGATGCCGCCGTTGGACTCACCGTTCAGAGGCGTATAAAGGTCAGTTGCGGTGATGCTCTCGTCACCATCTCCATATTTACTCCCCTTATACGCACATAACAGCAACAATGTTGCTCCTGGGAAAGACAATATATCTAATACAGTCTTTGCTGACAATTCTTTTCTGAAAATGGCAGCAAAGAGCGATGCAGCGCAGACGACTCCGGAAAACAAGAACGCAAGGATGGACAACAATCTTGACGGCTTCCTTGGAAGCTTTCTTCCGCGGATGCTTATAGTTAAACTAACCACCAACCATGTGAACCCTTGAAACAACGAAAGTAGCCACCAATTCAAAGGCAAAGCAGTACGAGTACTCCTCAGATTCTCTTCCAGAATCCAGACTCCCAGCCCCAAGTACACAATTCCAAGGCAGCCATTGACAACAGCAGAGGCTATCTGCAAACCCGAAAAGCCTTGATATCGGGCTGGAATGTGAAGTGATTTCGACGATGGCTTTTGAAGCATGTTAAACAAGAGCATTGCTAGAAGCAAAATGTCAAACCCAATTATCGACACATGATTGACGCATGAAGAAGGTTGAAACAGAGACTGAAGAGTTAAAGTGAGTGCCCTTCCAGCTTCATCCGAAAGACCGGATTCCCCACAAAACGCAGTCCACAAATCCTCCATCATGCTTTAATTAACTCTGCAGTTACACAATGCGAGAACATACAACAAGAAACAATCAGATAACCCCAGAAACACAAATTAACAAAATCTTGGGGGAAAAACTGAAAAAAAATGCGAACTTGAAGATTCTTAACATCAATTTAGTCCAAAGAATTAAAGGGCATATACCTTTTGGTTTTGTTTTGATAAATGCGGGATCAAACTCAGGATCTCGGGTTTCGGGTGCAAGAGTAGTAAATGCTCTTAACCGCTCACATGACCCAAGAACAGGATGTCCTCCTCCTCCTCCTCTGAGGCCAATGCTTCACAGAAAGCAAAACACCAAAGCATTAGGTCCTATAAAAATTACCCAATTTGTCACTCAGCTGTCCAAGTTAGAAAGAATGTCCGGAAATTAAATCAAACAGTGTTTTGAAACTACGAACGTGAGATGTGCAACTTGTGATAAATTCGACATGCGACAACACGTTAAAATAATACGACAACAATCACGTCTTTGTCTTGTGTTTAACAGCGACGTAAAGTTAAAATATTTGGTGGAAGAAAAACAGAGGAAGCAAAGCAATTCAAGACCAATCAAACAACTCTACATATAATAATATAATAAAAATTGCAATGAAAAATAATAATTATAAAAAAAAAAAGGGTTTTGGACTAACCAGGAACCCAAGAAACCCGAAATCTTCAATGTCCGTTTTTGCAAAACCCAGAATTTAATTTCTTGAATTTGTTTATTTTTGAGTTCTTTTAATTTCCTTGAAAGAAAAAGATGGAGTCTTTGCACCCGATTGCTGATGGGCTCCGAGTTTATGGTAGAGACTGACAAAACGTGGGTTTAGAGAGAGAGAGAGAGAGGAGAGAATGACTTGAGTTTTTAGTCAGCTTTTTTCGTCTAAGAAAAAAGTAATGGTTGCAAAATTTGCAACTGCGAGTCAAAAAGTTGTGGATTTCTGAGAGAGGGAGAGGGAGATGTGTAAGGTCGGAGTCGGTATGTCGTCATGGCTCACGTCTCTGCGTCTTGAAAACACGTGGGCTTTGTTCGTCCGTCGTTTCCTTTTCTCTGTGTGATCCGCAGCCGTACTGGGATTCTGTGGCTACGCAGGCGCAACTGCCCAGATTTTAATATGCATGTATATTCAAATAAGAACAAAAATTACGTATTATTAAATAGAAAACACCGAATACCCGTCAAACACCAATCAAATTGGAAATGGTTTATGCTCGTTTAGAAATACTTTTAAATGATTGAAAGTGTTTTTAGGAAAAATTTTGTTGGCAAGTACTAGCTATAGAGCTTATTTAGATGTACTTTTAAAATGACTAAAAATACTTATGGTGAAAATGTTTTTGGAACCAATCCTTAGTAAAAATACAAATAAATTGTAGAAAAACACTTAAGTGTTTCTTGCTTTTTGAAATAAGCACATAACTGGTGCTTCTTGCAGAAAACACTTTAAGTGCTTTTGGAATCAAAAAACATTTTCTTTAAAAACGCTTTCAGTTATTTTAAAAACACATTCAAACGAACTCATATACTTCTTACATGAAATACTTTCCATTGTTTTTTTATTCAAGATTAACTTACATTTTTACCAATGATTTGTTTAAAAGCATTTTTTTAAAACAGTTTTAGTTATTTAAAAACACTTCTCAAACGAGAAACTAGTCATCTACAAGTATAAAACATAAACACAGTTTTAGGGACAATAAAAGTAGGGGTATGCTATCCATACATCCTATTTTACTTCTCACACACCTCTTGTTAATTTCTGTCATTTGATTTTCTTTAATTCATCTGATCCGACAGTCGAAATTTAAAAAGGTGTGTGAGAAGTTAAAAATGGTGTATGGATATTACATCTCTAAAAGTATGAGGAAGAGTATGATGTGCTTATTTATTTTGCATGGTGAAATAGGCAAAATGTACATAAGAAAAGAAATCGTGGAGGGGAGTATGAAGAAATGAGAGTTCAGTCAATTATCTTTTGGATAAGGATTGTCTGCCCTCCTAGTTGTGGTGTCCTTCCATGCCCTCCTATTTTGTGCAGTCACGGTTAAGCCACGTTAATATTTTATATTAATTTTTTAATGAGATAATAAGACAAAAAACAATAAAAATATAAAATATTGACGTGGCTTAACCGTGACCGCACAAAATAGGAGGGCATGGAAGGGCACCACAACTAGGAGGGCAGACAATCCTTGTCCTTATCTTCTCCGATCCTAGTTGATATAATTTTCCTTTTATGTGAATTATTATGGATTTTAATGTGAAACACGTATTAGTATTTATTTATTACGAGCAAGTAAACACATGAGAAGTTTTGAGTAGCAAGTGAAGAATTATTAGAATAATTTTAGTATTCATTATGTGTGGCTCGTGTCATTATTTAATTCTAATGCATATTTAAACGATTAAACAATTTTTAGATATAAGTTTGTAGACTTAGAGATGATATGGTCAATCAAGATAATCAAAATCTATTATGATCCTACATCGGCTACATCAGAAATGGTGTAGTGGTACTTAAGTTCTTTGGGTCCTCCCACCTATCAAGCAGTCTTTTGGGTTGGGCTCTTCCCTTGGGTTTGAGTACCTAACATTGGTATAAGAGCCTAGGTTCTTGACGATGCGAAGGGGGTGACCTGGATAGGGCTACCTTAATGGGACGACCAACAGGATGCGCTACCGTTAAGAGTGAAAGCCACTATAATAAGGGCCACCGTATACGTCGGGTCCCGACGCTGCAGAGAGGGCGACCTGGAAATTGCTACCTTAACAAGACGACCAAAGGAGGGTGCGCCGCCATTAAGAGTAAAAGCCACCAAAGTAAAAACCGTCGTGGACGTTAGGTCTTCCAAAGGGTGGTGTGATGTTATGATCCCACATCGGCTACACTAGAAATGATGTAGTTGTACTTAAGTCATTGAGATCCTCCCACGTATCAAGCTAGTCTTTTGGGTTGGGCTTTTTCCTTAGGCTTGAGTACCTAACAAAATCACGAAGATAAGGTATTGAAAATGATTAAGATAATATTTTTAAAATTTGGAAATCAAATTAGATGCAAGTTCGAGGTTAGATCGATGTGCTTATTTGCCAATTACATAAATGACAAATATACTTATAGATCTATAGTCGAGAAAATAAATTAGTATTGAACTAGCTATTTGCTAGATTCAAATTGACAACCTCTAACTTATAAGTTAAAAAAATATATAAATTGGTTGTAGTACTAAGTGACGAGTTGTATATCTTTAAACTTGCAGTAGTTAATTTAGGTTTTAATAAAACCTATTTCTTCATAGATACCGTCATACCTAACGATTGAACTCATGTTACCAAAATAATCAAATTGAGTTTAAGATAGTAGTTGTATTTAATATAGGTTTGCTTCTCTGCCAGCATGCCATGCATATGCAAAGCTTAGGATTCTAGGTATGTGGGGGCGAGCGATGATTTTTGTCGAAGGGATGCATCATGCAGATAAATCATACCCGTCATTTCCCAAACTATCAAAATCAGGCCATATTCCTCAAAGCAAATTGAAGAGGATCGAATATACATGATAGTGATAATTACGTGGTACAATGGAAATGCAATAAAATTCCAAGTCAGATTTGTTCTACTCAAAATGAGAGTTTCCCCCTTAAAACTTATTTTCTCTCACTTAAAACCCATCCTCTTTATTTTTTCAGACATAAACCCCATTTACTAGAGTCATTAACAAGCTTGGTATGTCAGTTTTTATAATTCTCGTGTTCCTAAAATACCCTCATAGAATGTAACATGGGTTATATAATTAATAATAAATTTTTCATTTTATTATTTTCAATGCAATTAAATGTCAACTAACCTATTATTTGATTAGGCTTTTTTTTTCTCAAATTTTTTTACCAAAAATATCATGAAACTAGCTTACCTTATTAGCATGCAATATATAATATAAATAAAAAAATATTATGGTGTTTTACGTTGAGACATGGACAAAAATACAACAACAACAACAACAACAACAAAGCCTTTTCCCACTAAGTGGGGTCGGCTATATGAATCCTAGAACGCCATTGCGCTCGGTTTTGTGTCATGTCCTCCGTTAGATCCAAGTACTCTAAGTCTTTCTTAGAGTCTCTTCCAAAGTTTCCTAGGTCTTCCTCTACCCCTTTGGCCCTGACCTCTGTCCGTATCACATCTTCGAACCGGAGCGTCAGTCGGCCTTCTTGCACATGTCAAATCATCGGAGCCGATTTCTCTCATCTTTCCTACAATTTCGGCTACTCCTACTTTACCTCGATATCCTCATTCCCAATCTTATCCTTCTCGTGTGCCCACACATCCCACGAAGCATCCTCATCTCCGCTACACCCATTTTGTGTACGTGTTGATGCTTCACCGCCAACATCTGTGCCATACAACATCGCTGGCCTATTGCCGTCCTATAAAATTTTCCTTGAGCTTCAGTGCCTACGACGGTCACACAACACGCCGATGCACTCTACAACTTCATCCATCCAGCTCGTATTCTATGGTTGAGATCTCCATCTAATTCTCCGTTCTCTTGCAGATAATCCATGGTAGCGAAACGGTCGCTTTTTGTGATCTTCGCTAGATTGCTCCGGTCATTAGTGTGAAGTATAATATGGATAGAGATAGGAAAGCAAAACACAAGTGTACGTGTTCACCAGATTGGCTACGTCCACGATAGAAGAGTTCTCATTAATTGTTGAAGGGTTTTACACAAGTACATAGGTTCAAGCTCTCCTTTAGTGATACAAGTGAATGATTTATACAAATGACATTAGGAAATATTGTGGGAGAATGATTCGTAATCACGAAACTTCTAAGTATCGGAGTGTGTGTCGTCTTGACTTGCCTTATCTGTCTCATAGGTAGATGTGGCATCTTCTCTGGAAGTACTCTTCCTCCATCCAGGGTGGATCTTTAAACTGGTGGAGATGCACAAGGTAATGTATCAATTTCACTTGAAGCTTACTTGTAGTCTCAGGCCTGGTCAATCGCGATACAAAACCATGTAGTAGGAGTCCCCCAAGTCGCCGAGCTAGGGGGTCTGCTGAAAGAGGTGACAGACAAGGTAAGCAATCAGAGCTCCGACTGATTGTTCCTTCTCCCCATCTTGCAGCAGCATGAGATAAAGAGAAGAAAATGAGAAAGATGATATGAGATACTTTGCTTTGAAGAAGTAACTTTCCACAGGCTTATTCTTGAACTGAGCTGGAGGTTTTTCTGGTTTCCTCCAGAGTATAAAGGCCGACTGAAGAATTTGAGGTCAACAAGTCCATCAAATCTAGAGTACGTCCACCCTCTGATATGGGATACTTTGCTTTTGACAGAGTAATGGGTG